ATATACTGGTTATGGAATATCTTTCAAGCAGAAGAAAGGTTAGTAAAGTTAACTGTACAAGTAGCCCACAAAATTAATTTTTATCTGTCAGTGATAAAACTAAAGTTGGGAGAAGTCAAATCATAGTACTTTAAGCTCTTAGGCAAGACAATATCAAATTATTGCCCTTCAAGAAGAAAGGTCAAGAATAAAAACATATGTAACTTATTTTCCATACTTAATTTCTTTTCAAGAGAAAGTACTTATAGGGAGTTGTAGATGAAGGCACTAGTCAAGCAGGCTATAAGAACAATAATTTAAACATGCTATATGGTTTAGTATTTATGAAATAAGAAGGCACAAAAACCACGATTTGCTTAGAGAAGTGAGCTTACAGGTAGAAGTTTTTTTTTTTTTTTTTTAAAGATTTTATTTATTTACTTGAGAGAGAGAATGAGAGAGAGAGAGAGCACATGAGAGGGGGGAGGGTCAGAAGGAGAAGCAGACTCCCTGCTGAGCAGGGAGCCCGATGTGGGACTCGATCCCGGACTCCAGGATCATGACCTGAGCCGAAGGCAGTCGCTTAACCAACTGAGCCACCCAGGCGCCCAGAAGTTTTTTTTTTAAAGTTACAAATCTACAGTTCACAAGGCAAAGAGAACAACAAAGATCATAAGTACAGGTTTTCAAAACTCATTGGGAAAAAATTTTAAGTTAATAGGCACATGTAGAGACTAAGAAGGTAAGAGGAGGCAAAATTTTCAAGGACAAAATCTGGGAAAAAACCAAACTGTTGGAAAATAAGACAAAGAACTAGCTTTGAGCCAGGATTAAATAACTCATCTCTTATTTCAACCATCATCCGATGACTAATTGAATTAAATTCTGGAAAAGATACACATGCTTACATCTTATCAGGTACACACAAATTTGCTTAATTTATATAACATATCCTTATTTGGAAAGCAAAGTTAGCTTAATAAAATTCTGTTTGATTTTAAGATTTGATTCTTTGCACATGTCTGTATTACTAGTAAACATGAGACTTCACAGGATCAAATGCAAGACTATTTTACTTTTTTAGGAAAAAATTAATATTATACTGAGAAAAAACTGACATGCTCCTTATGTATCCTAGTTATCTTAAATTATAAGTTATAAATAATAAGTTATCATCACTGTATACAGGTGTGACTACAAAGACAGAGTACAGATTCTATGATTTGGAGCTATAAGAGCCTTTTGAAAAGTTGACTGCTATTTGTAGCCACACCTCTTTGACACACAGACTGCCAGAGTATTTACAACAGATCATGAAAGTGTTAATAGTGACATTTTCTTTTCTTTTCTTTTTTTTTTAAAGATTTATTTATTTGAGAGAGCGAGAATGAGAGAGAGTACATGAGAGGGGGGAGGGTCAGAGGGAGAAGCAGACTCCCTGCCAAGCAGGAAGCCTGATGCAGGACTCAATCCCGGGACTCCAGGGTCATGACCTGAGCCGAAGGCAGTTGCTTAACCAACTGAGCCACCCAGGCGCCCAACAGTGAAATTTTCTAATTCAAATAGCAACAATATATTATAAACCCATCAAGTCTTAAGTGTTTATTATTGTAATATTTTTAAGAATGGAGAAAATAAAAACTTTATCAACTCTCAGTGCTTCTGTTTCTGCGGAATTAAAAGTTAACATCAACTCAAATGTGTATAATTAGGTATTCTAAAGTGCCAGTACTAGAAAATCTCTTTATTTGGCAAGGCATGGCAGTGCATTTCTTCTGCATAATTTTTGAAAAAGTTTATTTCAATTTTATAAAATATTCTGCTGATGCCATGTAACGGTCCCCAAAGGAGCATCCAATCATACTGTGTTCATTCACCATTCAGCATAAGGTACAGCTGCCGTGAACCCTGGCCAGGCCTTACTATCAGAAGACTTCACAATAAAACTTTTCACGTTAAACTTTAATTTGCCTACCGGGACAAACTCAAAAGACACTATTATATGTGAAGACCAATACATTTTCAAAAGTGCCTGAAAAGAGAAAGGAACAATGTATCTGGGATGTTGTTTCACAGAAAAGAAACACTCAAGTACTGATAAATATTGGGAATTAAAAACAGCAACAAAACTGCAGTCAGCCTATGGCCATAATGAATTCAAATGACTTCCTTAATCTTCACTCTGTATTAAAGAGTTGCTTGTCAGTAGCCTGATAGCACAGTGAATATGGAAAGCAACAATATAAACCTTGAAACACCTATCAGCTAACTAAAATTTAAAAGATTTTACAATTTATCACTACAACAATTTACCACATACTTTTATTCCAAATAATCCATTTGAAAGATATTCCAAACATGGGGATTTTAACGCAAAAATTAAAAACCTTCTCTAAAATCAACAACTCTTCAGTATCTGATTACCAGTTTCCCACATACCTTTTACTTTGAAAAATGGCTAGCAGCAAACTGCACCAATTTAAGTCCCTATATAAATGAAAACTCCCGTCGTACTCTGCCATAACAGAGCAAGTTCTGAGGCTTCAACGTCTTGTGCATGTATATCACTCATTCTCTTAAGATGCATTAATAAGTTAATATTTAATAACACATGCTATGTATTAAACACAATAGTAGGAGCTTTATATACTTCATCTCTAATCCTCACAACTCAAAGAGTTAAGTGCCATCATCCCAACTTTATACATGAGGAGACTGAGCTGAGGCTCATAAAAGGGTCCCACAGCTAATAAGAGAATGTAAAAGCCTCCTATATTTTCATCAGCCCTTTCTGTACATAAAATATATGAGATCTGAAAGTATTAATTCTGTAACTTATCAATTAGCCAACAAGTTATAGAAAATGCTAAGCTGAGTGACACGTGAATACATATATACTTATCAGTGCTTTGTGGGGAGCTGTGCGAATTTACCTTCCAGGGTTATGTTTCATTTTTTTAGCACACATCCACATTTCTTCCATATCTTGAATGTAGGATCTATGTAATTCTGTGTGCAAGTATATTAGCTATGGAACATGTAAGATCATTAAGCCAGTAGGATCTCCTTAGACCCTGAAGAAATGGTCTAACACATAGTCAAAACTCTGATTATTTTTTCAGAAGCCAAGTTTACTCTGGTAACAAGTTAAGCCTCAGAAGTGGGCCTAAAATTTTTTTACCTTTGATACAGCCTTGTCTACAACAAATTATAGAATCCGTTATTTAAGGACATACCCACGCAAAACACACACACGGCGTGAAAAGATGAGCGCCTCATCAATATGTGAGGAAAAAGCAATCGCTCTCAAATATGCCAAATTTTATTAAACTGAAGCATGTCCAATTACTCTAGTTACACTGGTATCGACTATATTAAATATTACATAGATCTTATTCTTTCAAATATCACAACTAGGTTAGCTTCCAGTTAGACTTTAACCACCTTTCATTACTCAAAAGTTCTTGTAATCAATGACATACAAGCTAACAGCAAAGGGTTTCTTCAGAATTACAATTTGGCAAACTATAACCATGGATACTTAGATCTATATACACATATTTTCTGGGACATCATATTAGAAAAATCATCTGCTATTTACTAAGCCTTACTTTTACTTAACTTGCTATCCAGGAAATTACACACGGGACAAGACAGCCTCAACAATTTGTTTCTACATAAAAGCAAGCTCAAAAAGCAGAGGCACTCTCCTCTGCACCTCGTAACAAAAAAAGGGAACAAAAAAAACTTCAAAAACATAGGGTGGAGCCTAAGGCTCAACCATAAGGTGTGTAAATCTGACCCCCGGGGTCCGTGGCACTGACAGTCATTCAACTTTCTTTTCAATAATCCCATTGTGCTTTTTTCTTGTACCACAGGCAAGATATGCCTGCATTTTACCAACTGGTCGGAACACCTTATTTCCTTTCTAAAAATTCTCCCGGTGCAAGGCCGGGGGCCGAGGCGTGGGGTGGGCGGGGGAGCCCGAGGCATCGGCGCCAGCCACCCGAGAGAGCAGAAACACGCACGGCACCCGCTCCTGGCAGGCCTGCTGTGGCTGGTTCCCGAGTCCCTGGGGCGGCAAAGGCAGCAAGCAGCAGCCATGGCAGGGACTCGGGAACCTTTCCCCTGCCTCCTCCGCTAGGCCTCGAGGGGTTTGCTTTTCACATGGTCCCCGGGTGGGGGCGGTGGGCACAAGGTAGTGGATGCAGCTGCAGCCGCAGCCGCAGCGGCGGGCCAGGCGAGCCGGGCTCCCTCGGAACCCGACCTCCCGGCGGGCTGGCAGCAGCAGCACCTTGGCGGGGGCCTGGCTGGGGCGCCGATGGCTCGGCGGGGAAGGCCACCTTCTCACACACATCTCTCCCCTGCCTGCCTCCTTCTCCGTTAGCGCTACCGGTTGGCGGGCGGGGGAGGGGACCGAGGCGCGTTATTCCCGGGGAGCTGGAGGGGGGAGGGGAGGGCATCTCTTACCCGCGTTACTGAGGAGGAGGAGGAGGAGGAGGCGGTTGGAGCGCGACGCGGCGGGGCGACGGCGGGGCTGGGTGGGTGCAAGTAAGAGTCTTACGAAAGGGAATTAACCCCATCACCAGCCCGGACACCGGCTCCAGCGGCAGCCGCGGCTGGCAGAATCCCGCCCCTTCCCACCACGCACTAGCCCCGCCTCTTCGTTCTCTTTGAGGGGCAGTCCACAAATCATAGGTTATACATCCTCCGAGTGACAGGAGGATCATCCAATCAGGCTTGAACAAACTGCCTTCTCTCCACCCCTTTATCTCCTCCCGGGCCGCGGGAGAGCTGTGCCAAGTCTTCCTCCACCCTCAAGAGAAAAAGAACCAATCGGTGATAAGTAACCGCCCTTGAAGGACGCAAAGGACAACCAATGGTAAAACTAAGAGGACAGCCATTTTGCCCACTTGTAAAAAAGGCACCTTTTCCCACGAGTTGGGAGCCTGAGGTGGAAGAGTTCTGTGGAGTTTTTACTGACCTGGAGATATCGGGAAGACAACCATATTTCTTTAGGGAATATTTATAGAGCTTTCTTGGAGTGAATGAACATTTTTATCCTCCATGGGAGGGGGAAGTGAGAAATGCTGCTTAAGGGCTTGGCTCCTCCCTTAGGGGTAACGGGTTCTAGGCCGAACACCTGGTTTCTCCAGCTTCAGTGGAGGAAGGCGGAGTTACTGCTCTGTTCGGCCAGCAGGGAACTACATTTCCCAATGTGCTTTGCCCCCGCCGCTGTCCTTTCCTGCTTTTACTTCCCGTGGGGCCTGACGGGAATTGTAGTTCCTGGGAGATACCCATGTCACTTCGTTGACCAATGAGAGGAGACGACCTTAAATGATTGGAGTTTGGAGCGGGGAACAAGTTGCAAGTGTGCGGCGAATCCTTTTTGCCACCCTAACAGAAGAGGAAGGCATAAAAGAGAGGGGTAGTCAGAGAGTAGCTTTCTCAGAACGCCGCAGGGGTTTTAGATTCCTGGTATTTGAACTCTCTTACTTTCAGTTTGTCCCTTTGAAGTCACTTCCGCCTTGGGGCGGACGCAAGCCAAACCTGTGGCGGGAGTTGGAGATTCTGCAGCGAATACACCAGGTGTGGCTTTCGGAGTGGCGTGGCGGGCAAGTCAGTAGTTTCTTTCGAGAGAGACAGGAAGTTGAACGGCATGTAATTGTGTTTTAAAGAAAGAGTGGGTGAAATGGGATGGCGGTAGTTCCTAAGTCCGGAATGCCATTCTCCACCTCTAGTCTTCAATCCCAGAGTCCCATTTTTCTTACCTTTTGACTTGCTCACGATTAGATTGCACCCGTGTATTTGTGGAGGGTGCCTCTAATGTTTTTAGCCGCTTTGCGTGCATGAAGCATGGCTTCAGGTCGTCTGTTTGAATAAAAATGGTCTTAGAAGTTCTGAACTACCCACTCCCTTATAGACAAACACTCTACTAAAGATTGGTTGGAAGGAGATAAGCTACGGAAGGGTACAGGACTAATACTCAAAAATGGTCCATTACCATTCTTGGTTTGTTTGGTTTTTTTTTCTTCAGTAAAGCATCAGTGTTGTGGGACCAACAGTCAAAGCATTATCTCTTTTTTTTGGTAATTTTTTATTTTAATTCAAGTTTGTTAACATATAGTATTAGTTTAAGGTGTACAATATACAGCTCTTCTTTTCTTTTCTTTTTTTTTTTTTTTTAAAGATTTTATTTATTTATTTGACAGAGAGAGAGATAGCGAGAGCAGGAACACAAGCAGGGGGAGTGGGAGAGGGAGAAGCAGGCTTCCCGTGGAGCAAGGAGCCCCATGTGGGGCTCGATCCCAGGGTCCTGGGATCACGACCTGAGCCGAAGGCAGACGCTTAACGACTGAGCCACCCAGGCACCCTAGAGCTCTTGTTTTCTTAATGCAGTTGGGATTTTCAGTATAATTTTGCAGTGTAGTTTCCTATAGATGCTTAGTTTTGTTTTTGTTGTGAGTTCTTCAAGTCAAGAAATAGTAATTGTGGCCATCATTTTTTATTGAGTGTTTCCCCAGCCAGGAATGATATTAAGTGCTTTAAGTACATTTTTCTTGAAATAATCTGCAGGTATTGTTATGTGACATTTATAGTTGAAGAAATTGGTGTTCAGTGACGTTCATTAAGACTTTAAGGCCTTGATCAGTAAATTTTGGAGCTGAGAATCATATCCAGGTCTGTCTCATTTCTGATCTCTTAATCACTACTCATCTTGCCTCTCAAATATTTATTAATTCCCCAATATGTGCTATAGACACATAGGGAGAGAGAAATGTAAAATTCCATTCTAGAATTCTGGAACAAATGGTGGCAGTCACTTCTTTTGAAGTATTCTCTGTCACGTACATAGTATGTACTCATTGTATTTAAAAACAAGGAAAATAAAAAAAGGAGGTCATCTGTAATACTGTTATCCAGAGATACCACCATTAAATTGGGGTGAATATCCTTACAGATCTGTCATAGGTACAGACATTTGCATGAATGCTATCATACTACCTTGCTTTTTTGTAAACTTTTTTTAATTCAACAATAGGCTGTGGATATGACTGGATATATATTAATGTCATTTTAAAAATATCATTTTTGATTGCGATCTGGTATTTCGTTATATGTCTCTAAGATAATTCCTACTTGATGGATATTATTTTTGATTAACTTTTTTTGATTGTGGTAAAAAACATAAAATTTACAATCTTAACCATTTTTAAGTGTATAGTACAATAGTGTCAAGTATATGTACCTTGTCATTAAACAGATACATGGAACTTTTTCATCTTGTAAAACTGAAACTGCACGTTTTGTACAACTCCCTTTTCCCCCTCCCACAGCCCTTGGCATCTACCATTCTACTTTTTTTGAAGAGTTAAACTACTTGAGTTCACTTGTATGAGTGAACTCATGGCAGTTATGGTTCTTCTTTGGCTTATTTGACTTACCATTGTATCCTCAAGGTTCATCCATGTTGTAGTGTATGACTGGATTTCCTTTTTCTTTTTTTTTTTTTTTTTAAAGATTTTATTTATTTATTTGACAGAGACAGAGATAGCGAGAGCAGGAACACAAGCAGCGGGAGGGGGAGAGGGAGAAGCAGGCCTCCCCCCGAGGAGGGAGCCCGATGTGGGACTCGATCCCAGGATCCTGGGAGCATGACCTGAGCCGAAGGCAGACGCTTAACGACTGAGCCACCCAGGCGCCCTGGATTTCCTTTTTCAAAGCTGATTAATATTCCTGTGTGTGTGTGTATACACTACATTTTATTTATCTGTTCCTCTGCCAATAGACATTTAGATTGCTTCTACCTCTTAGCTATTGTGAATAATGCTGCAGCCAACATGGATGTGCACATATGTCTTCAAGATCCTGTTTTCATTTCTTTTGGATATGTGCCCAGAAGTGGGATTGTTGGGTCGGTTATTAACATTTAAAAAGAATGCTCTTGTGAACAAATCTTTATATGCTTGTCTGATTATCCTGTAAATCTAACTTTTTAGAAGTAGGTTATTTAACCACAAATACTCTATAATTCCTAAATTGCTCTTCTGAAAGGTTGTACCCATTTTCTTTCTTACTAACAGTGTTTGAGAGCACCCAATTCCCATCTTTTATCCCATCCAATCAGATTGCAAAAAGTGATTCTTCATTATTTTGTTTGTAACTGAATTCTGTTGATGTTGAGCATTTTTTATATGTGTAGTGTCCATTGTTTAATCTCTTTTAAGTAGCTTGTTATTGGCTATCATAATCTCTTAATTTTAAAGGAATTACTTCTTAGGTTTTTAACTCTCATATTTTGCAAGCCTTGACTCTCATTTTGAAATTTGTCTTTTTACATTTTAATGCTGTTTTTCCATGAAATAGTTTTAATTATTTTACTTTGAAATCTGCCTTTTTTCTTTTATAGTTTCTAGTTTATTTGTGATGCTTAAAAAAACATTTCTGATGCTTATAAATTAGATAATAAAAATAGTATGAATATATAATTTAAAATTTGTTCTTACATTTAATTTTACAATTTATACACACTTGATTTTGTTTGGACTCTGTTTTTTTTCCCCTATTGTTCTGTCTTCGACTTGAACCATACACATTATCTTAATTTCTCTAACTTTAGACTATGTTTTGATATCAAGTAGGTAAAGTGTGCTTCCACTTTTCTTTTTTCGGTATTTTCTTGTTATTCTCATATTTTCTTGTATTTTTTTAGATGGATTTTGGTATCATTTTGTCAAATTAAAAGTACATCTCGGCACTTCTATATTTTAATAAAGTACAAGTTTAACATTTATATAGATACTGAATGCTACTTAATGACAAGTATTTCATTTCTTATTAATACAGAATTTTTCAGATACAGCCAAGGCTCAATGGGGGCTCTCTGTGCTTTGTGAAAACATGTTTTTATTACAGAATTGGATCTAAAAGATTACAGTTTAAGAGCATTTCCAATTTTTTAAAAATTATATGATCACTTTTTATTATAAAGGGGCTTGCATTTTACAGGTGGTTTCCAGTAGAAGCTGATGACTTCTGCATGCTTATTTTTTTAAAAAGATTTTATTTATTTATTTATTTGAAAGAGAGAGAGAGAAAACATGAGATGGGGGAGGGGCAGAGGGAGAAGCAGACTCCCTCCTCAACAGTTAGTCTGATGAGGGGCTTGATCCCAGGACTCCGGAATCATGACCTGAGCCCAAGGCAGACACTTAACTGGCTGAGCCACCTAGGCGCCCCTTTGGCATGCTTATTGTAACTATCCTTCTGTACTTCATAGTCTTCTCCAAGTACTTCAAACTTAGCATGTCCCCTAAACCTGTTCCTCTTCTCCTTTGTTTATTAACAATATAAATAAATAATAAATATTGTTAATATTTATTGAGCACCTACTAAGAGAAGTACTAGCTAATAATTAAGAGAATGGGCTTCAGACTGCCTAGGTTTGATTCTAGGTTCTGCCATGTACTTGTTGGGTGACCTTGTGCAGATAAGTTAGCAATCTGTGCCTTAGTTTTCTTATCAATAGAATACCTACATCACAGGGGCGCCTGGGTGGCTCATTCTTTAGGCGTCTGCCTTTGACTCGGGTCATGATTCCGGAGTCCTGGGATCGAACCCCGCATCAGGCTCCCTGCTTGGTGGGAGGCCTGCTTCTCCCTCTCCCACTCCCCCTGCTTGTGTTCCTCTCTCACTGTGTCTCTTTCTGTCAAATAAATAAAAAAATCTTAAAAAAAAAAAAAAAAGAATACCTACATCACAGGTTGTTGTGAGGATTAAATGACTTCATATACATAAAACACATAAAATAGTGCCTGGCCTATAGTAAGTATGTGGTACTCTGTTAATACTGTTTATTGACCTGGCTGATGCTAGTGTGCTGTAAAATGATAAACAAGACAGTTTATGGTCTTTGATTTTATGAAGGCATTCTAATAGGAGGGAAAGACAAAATTCAAATAAATAGAGGAATTGCTAATTATAATAAGTGCTGTAAGGAAACCAACTGATATTAAGGAAAATGTCAGGGACATTTGGGAGCTATTGCAGTATTCCAGTTGAGCAGTAATAGCTTGGGATGGCAATGGAACTGGAAAGAAATGGATGCATTTGAGATATGCCTTAGGGATAATTAGTAATAAATGGATTTAGTTTGGTGGGTAAAGGAGAGGGAGAAATCAAGAGCGAACCCAAGTTGCTGGTTTGAGTAACTTGCATGGTTGTACTATTACTGAGAGATTGAACAGGGAGCACCCAAGTTTGGTGGAGAAATAAGACTTTGGTTTTGGACATTTAGGCTAGAAATGTCTGTGAGACGTCCAAAATGTCAGGTAGGTAATTAAATATAGGAGTCTGAAGCAAAAAAATTATAAATTGTATTACCTGGGCTATTTGTGGTAGACTTCTAAAATGTTGTTCCCACCCTCACATCTATTTTTCCATATTTGACAAGGTAATCTTTGTAAACTAATGGCCTGATCAAAGTCTAAGAAAGGTCCCCAATTTCTTACAGGATAAAGTCCAGACTCTTTTTTTCACATGGCATATGAGAACTTCCCTAACCTGGCTTAATATTACTTCTTTACCAC